AAGCAGACAACCTTTCGCTTGCAACATAACGCTAGACCCCATACCAGTTTGGCGACCACCGCGCACATTGCAAAGTTCGGCTGGACTGTCCTACCACATCCACCTTATAGCCCCGGTTTAGCACCTTCAGACTTCCATCTCTTTGGGCCTAGGAAAGAAGGACTATGTGGGCAACATTTTCCAGACAACAATGCTGTCATTGCAGATGTCTGCTGGCGCAGACTTTTACGGGCACAGCATACAGGCTCTTGTTCATCGCTGGCAAAAGTGCATAATGAATGGTGGTGATCATGCGGAAAAATAACTGTAAGTAGCTGAAATCTTACTCTATTTAACTGCATTATTATGCTTTCTGTATCTGTTGTAGTTTTCATTAAAAAAATAGGAGGCATTATATATGGAATGCTCCTCGTATTAAGAGCTAGTCTTCTGGGATATACTGCAATGCAGGCCAGTGAAAGTAAACTGACAGTTTGGAGGACCATGCATCCTCCATCTTCAGGGTCAAAGAGAACACTAAGCAAAGTAAGCCAAAAAATGTCTCCTTATGGGGACCGGTACACATTCACTCTTCTCCTTGCCCTACTAGCTCACTTGGGACTCCTACTTAGGCATGCACGTGTACTATGTTTCTCCACATTCAGTTTATTTAGCTTGCTGCTTGCCTGGTTTACTTTTGTCCTTGAAGATAGTGGAGTACAGTTCTCTGAAATGTTGGTAACCTTTCATCATACTACATGGCATCATATCCCAGATGACAGTATTCTTCCCTATCCTTCTTCACCAGTAGGTGATAAACTGAATGTCTTGGCATGAATCTCAGCTGTGTCACCAGCATTCCTGATTGAGGATTTTCATCATTCTCCTCATCCTTCCAGGCAAATGCCAGAACAGTCCCTCTATCAGGCCATATTAATTTCTCCCAAGTCCTATGCAATTCATCATTCATTATCATCCTACCATTCAGTGGTATACAGTCTGGATATTGATGGTGTCATAAAATAACCCCCAAAAGAACAAGTGAAAGATTAGTCAGGCTGTTCCTCCTAGACTATCAAAAATTTACAAAATGGTGGTCCAGATGAATAGATGTAGAAATTATTTTTGAAAAACGTTTCCATTCATCTGTTGTAAATTTAGGAGGTAACCGTGACACCATCTTTAAACAGAAAGGTTTGAATTTTCAAAGCAACTAAAATTATACTATGTGAATCCATATGTGTTCTACTTGCAATCCAGCTAGTGTTACAAAGCACTCAGAAGTCTGAACATCCCCACAGTGTTTCAGAGTTAAAACAGGTAGAGAGAAATTATACATGCAAATGTATTTGGTACATTATGGAAGCTGTTCTACTTGAATTTTCTTGCACTCAATTTTGTTGACAGACAGGTATAAACAATGTTTCTCTTATAAAAACATGTCTGACTTATTTTCATGCTTGGTTTTAGCATCCAAGACTTACACATACAATGAAATGGCAGAGACTTCTGCCAAGTTTCCTGGTATGTCTACTAAGGCAGAGAACAGAAGGAACACAGGGTATGAGGTTATGTCCTAAAAATATAAGCATAGGCCGTTGGGTCTGTTTTTTGATCCCCACACCACTTCTAACAAATGCTGAAAGCAGCAATTCAGGAAACGATTTCAAGTACCTGCCATCCACCAAAGATGTCATTGTGCACAATGTACATAACACGCTTGTCTGTCAACATGAGGGTATCCCTACTGCCTGGAGAAATAGCCATATGATGAACATATATATCAGTAGTGGCATAACGGCCTTTTTCCAATTCCTGCAAAAGAAAAACATTAAAATTAATCAGTCTTCTTGAATTAAATGTGAAGTATACAAACAAAACATACTTTTATGTTCTGCTTCTTTTGAGCCATAGTATATCTGCTTCATTCTTTATTTTGATAATTCAGTCCTGTATATATTGACACATATATGGGGTTAGCATGATGTATAATTGTGGGTTGTAGATTTGGTGACTGGATTTATTGGATACTCACAAGTTGTAACTACAAGTAACTATAACACAAAATTAAGTCTTCAACATCTGCTTGCTAGTCGTTACTTGGTAACACTTCAACTACTGAATAGCCAAATATTCAAGTCAAAGTCAAAGTCACATTGCGACTGATGGTCGGTCAGTCAGTCAGTAAGTCTTGGTGTCGAGCCCCATATCGTTTGACAGTTACGGTCTTGTTTCTGTGGGGCGCCTTCTCTGACGAGAGGACGGGTCTGTCTTTTGTATATGCTGCTGGCTCTTGCCAGTGCAGTCTTACTTGGGTCCTAGTCCCTTGGGACTCGGGACCATATTTTACTGTCTCAGAACTAAGACTTCCCTTTCCGTCGCCTCCTACAACTCGCAGGGTCATGGTGGAGGTATTTGACCCTGCCTCCACATGGAGTATCATATGTTCCCCTACACGGAAATCTTTAGTGAAAGGTGAAAGATTTATACGTATTGAAGGGAAACCAAATATTGTCAAATGCATAGCCTTTTATAAAATGCCACAGAACCTAATAGTGGTCACTGCCTCCAAGGGTTCTACTGCTGTTCTTTGTCCGCATTGTGCTGGATATGCTTGTAATACTGTGGCAACCAAACCCGTTGTCCAGCAATGGACATCTATTCTCGTTGACAGGGTATGCCCAGGAACATGTTTGGCTAATCATTGCCTAGCAATGCATCACAATATACATGTAGGTGGCAATTAATTTAGTGAACATTACTTTCTTCTATGATGTGGCATTGTATACACTGGTAGATATTTACTAGTGTTTCACAGGAACCTGTTATCTTAATCTTCAGGATTATATGGAAGGTAAGATACAGAAAAGCTAAGATAAGGACTGGGGTTAAGAATGAACCACTGAAGTGTTATGTTCTTCTTACAAAGTACAAGAATGTTCTTAACTATTTATTGGGGTTAAGAATGAACCATTAAATTATTATCTTCTTCTTATAAAGTACAACACAGCGTGCCACAAACACATACAGGACATCAAAGAACCCTCTTCTCAAGAATGACAAGGAGGCACACGTTCAGCCCCCGTCAAGAGAAATAATAAGAGGGATGACACGAACTTGCTTGGTTTATGAATTCCAATAGAGTTTTAACAAACCAATTATGAATATTTTAATGAAACAGCTGCTGTAGTTGTAAAGACTTTAGTTTTTATACCCAATTGCATATTATTAATATTAAATATATACATTTCTACTTTCAGAACATTTATTGTAATAGTAGCTTCAAACTGTATTAATGTAAAAACGTGCCTCTGATGATGGTCTCTGAAGATCAAAACATGTAAGGGCATAAATAACTGAAATAAGGAAAATCTTCACCAGTCACACTAGATGGAACTGTTTAACTTTTCACGAAGTACAAGAATGTTTTTAACTCTTTACCTAAATTCTGAAAGCAACATACCTGGAGCAGTTTGTTGCCTTCTGCCTCTATGCGTACATATGGGCGCACCAGACCATCTTGCTGAAAGAAGCGTGGCGGACGAAGCCTTGTGATCTCATCACCCATTTCAGTTGCTCTAAAACAACAACAGATGTGGCTAATGCATGCATTTTATTGGGATTTGAAAGTGTTTATATGCCTATCTCATCTTTTAATTTGTTGGATTTGAGGTTCTCACCGAGGTGACTATGAAAAGTGCAACCTTGTGTGTGTTTTTGTACAAGTCCATCAACATTTACAAGGAACATATCGTTTGATCTTCAGGGTGGAGGAGTAAGGCAAGCAGATTGAAAAGCAGAGCTGGGGTTTATTCTTCAACCCTGAAGATGTAAGCAATACAGTCCTCAAAAATGTCAGTGGATTTTTACCAAACTACATGGTGTTACAACCCGGAACATCATAGACCTCATAATCTCTGATGTTTTGTGTGTGTGACTTTGATTCTATGTCTATGAGATTGTAAAACAGTTAAGTATGGGTATTTTTTGGAACAAAGGTATGTGAAGCAAGAAAACACAACTGTAGCGAGGAAGGATCATTATAATTTGAAGTAACATTCCTACAATCTAAAATGTTCAAAATTCAATTCTATTCCACTGTATGAAGATAATTTAATAAGCACTGCAGGTTTACCAGACTGCAACAGAAACAGTTGCACACATCGGTCTGTAATGACGGGGACAGCGACATGCTCGAAGCTGCACATCCACTCTGTCTTAACATAATAACTGCCTAAGAACACTTCCCTGAATATGAAATTGTAACACTACATTACATACACCTCAGGAATTTGTTACTAGCTTGGGTACGCACTGTACCTGTTGCCTAAGATGGCATCATATAGTTAATCAGAAACTTTTTATAGTAATCAAATTTTAATCTTATGAAAGTTTGTGCTGTTGTTGTGCAGACAGAATTGAGCTTTTAAATTTAACACTCATGCAGCATTTCCCAGCTACAGTATATACTGTCTGGCAAAACATATTAAGTAATGCAAAGTACCAGTAATGTGTGTATTAACCTTTTAATGCCTAATGGTTACTATATGCACGACTTGGTTTAACACACTAGAATTCTGCATTCTGCCCACACAGTGTGTTTGTGTGTTTCGTATGGTTCTCACAATAAGCATTGGATATTTCCCAAAACAGCATTAACCGGATGGGCGTTGTAGCGGAGACACAATGTGTCTTCTGTGAAGTACAGACTGGATTTATATTGTGATGTGTCGCGCTACCTGGACCCCCCCCCCCGGAGCTGACGCGCCGAGCGGAGCCGAAGTTAGCAGAGTCCCAGCGTCCTGGTAGCTATGCAACGCGAGTCAATGTGCGGTGACATAAGACGGCGTGAGGTAACAGTGTTGCTATGTAACAGGCACACACAGCCACTATATAAGAGAGCTGCACTGCCTGCGAGGAGAGTTGAAATGTGACCATCGCCGAGTTCAGCTGTAGTCGAGTTAACTTGTAGCTGTCCCTGGAGAGAGTTAAGTGTATCAGCGGCCGAAGACAGTTCTCCAGTCCGCAGTGAACACAGTTAGAGTCTATCAGCAGCCGAAGACAGTTCTCAGTTCCGAGTTAGTTCCGAGCAAGCCTACGAGCGAGTGTGTTATCAACAGTCCTCAAGGCAGCAGCCTGCGAGCAGAGTTGGAATCTAGCCAGCGGCGAGTTACGAGTGAAAGTGTGTGATAATCAGTGACAGTTTGTGATAACTGAGAATTAATTGGGAGTGTGTAACACAGTGACACTTGTATAGCTCCCGTACTGTGAAACGTGTAGTCTACTGACAATAGCGTGATCTGATTTGCGACTAGGGTTATAAAGTGTGAAACCCCGCAATACTGTTATAATTAATTGTAGCCATGATTTGTAGGTTGTTAAATAAACCAATTAACAATCTCTACGGCGTCTTCAGTAACGATACACAGTACAATATATTTAGTTAGGAAGAAATTCCGTCTTTAAAGGGTTAAATATCTTCTCCATCCCCTTGAGAGTTTATCCTGAAGGCATTAATGCAGTATGACCATCAATAAGAAGTTTCCCATGAAAGATTATTCACGGCTTGTTACAAAAGGTAGGAATCTCAAAAACCACATTAAGGGATATCTCATGAAAAGATTTATCTGTACTTCGTATAAGATTAAGCTGGGCCAGATATGGTTGCAAGATCGAAGAAACTGATGCTACAGTTCTGAAAACTGAACTGCCACAATGGTCTCATACACAGTTCCATGCTGAAATTGCCATGAATCATGATATGAGGCCATGTGTCTGGTTACTCAATGAGAGCATTACACATTTAAATGCATAATGGAATGGCAAATAGCAAGCAAAAAGAATCACACTTAAAGATGCTGGTATTTTAGCCTTAGAGAGATCATGAATTAAATAAGCTGTAATTTCCTTTTATGTCTGATATCACTGTTTTAAAGATAAGTGCCTAGGTGATGCTTTGGAACTCAAAAGAAGTAATGACATAAAGACCTGGACAACCCTGGCTCAAATAAATATGAAGCTGTTCCTGAAAAAAATACTGATATTGAACATGGCTTGGTCTTTGGATAAAGCCCTTTTCCATTTGGAAAATTAAGCTTGGAACCTTGGTCACCTTGTAATTGCATAACCCAACCACTCCAACCTTCTCCTTTTGAGATTCACTATTAGATAAGGGGTTTTTTATTTGAATGAATACATCAGTAAAGAAAATGGAAGGTTCTGGACCCAAAAGAATTCTCACAGTTGCATACTCAGCACACCACAGAAAACTGCATATTTTCTATATCCAAGTATTCAGCCCCACTTTCCCAGATGGTACTGTAAACTGATTTTTATCCGAATATTAACCTTTCCCAGTTCAATTAGGATTTATAAGCAGTGGTTTAGCTGATAATGGTAATTTAGCTTTGAGAATAAACTATTATTTAAGTATAGATTTTGTCTATGTTAACTGTAAGACATAACCTCTGAGTTTCACACAGCACCACATTTGTAATATATACTTATGAACCACATTTCATACAGGGTATGAAGACATGTTTATCATCTGCTCCATACAAAACTTCACATGCCTTGCTCAACTCAGCCAAATAAAAAATACAGAATCCAGGAAGCTGACATATCCTTGTTTTAAATTCTACACCCTCTCCTAAAAAAAGAACCCAAGAGAAGTGCACATTTGTTAAGGAATAATTACCATACATGAAGGGTTCTTAAACTCTTTGATACTGTAAGTAAGTAAAGGGATCCTGTAACAGGCCATGGAGGCCCATAGGGTTGTGAGATGTAGGGGTTCCCACATTTTCTAGACAAGGCTCATAGCTGGAGGTAAAGTTGTCAGCCTTACATGCCAGTCATCCTTTACCCCCAAGAATATTCCTGGTACTCATTTCTGTAAGAGGCTGAGTTGACCCCAGGACCATAGTGCGGCTGGAAGGATTAGGTAAATTCAAAAATCCACCTCATTGGGATTTGATCCTGTGATCTTCCGGCTAGTAGCACAGTGCCTCAACCAAATACATTACCGCGTGATACTGTGGTCTCCTGAAATAATGCACAGCTTTATGCAACTCCCCCATCTTTGCTGATCAGTGAAAAGTGCAGTTCTGCAGGCGATACAGTGTCAGAAGGAACCCAAATACCTTTTCAGACTCTCTATTTACAGTAAGCTATAAAATATTCCATGGATCTATTACTTCAGCCTATATTAGATGATGCCAGTGCTCCTTTCTTACCTTACAAGTTGTCATGTTGTTATTATCAACTGTAAAATATAAAAAGTATATGAGACTGGTAGCCTGCAATAGCATAACTTTTGTACAAAATTTCATGGAAACTGCCAACGTGGTTTAAAGCTGATAAGACATTATATATATATANAAGGACTCACAGATGAAGCACAGATTAATTGTTCATATGGTAATAAATACTGCATTGGGTATTTAAAATTACAACCCTTCAATCAGTATGAGGACATTAAAAGTGGGTGAAAGTACAAAGCACACCTCTTCACTGCATCAAATGAGCCACTTGCAAAATCAACGACGCCAGCAGTAGGTCGAGTTACAAGTCCCATAACACCCTTGCCTACACCCTTGAAGAATCCTTCTACACCCTCTTGCTTTGCTCCAGATATTGGCTTTAGGATCACACCTGATACACCATCCACAACACCCTGAAAAATAAAAGATGAAATAAAACTGTATTTATCTCAATGGATCTTATTTTAATAAAATTTCTAGAGAATTGTTGGGTATAAATGTCCATCATACACTGAACACTTTATACAGTTACAAAAGTAAAACAACAATGGCACTTACAATAGATATTTTTAACTTATTCATGTGTCTCACCTGATAATGGCTGTTTGAGGTCGAAATACACAGTTTTTCCATTTATGTGACAGTTAACCTCATGCCTTGAAGAAAGAATAAATTTAAAAATGCTCGAGGCATAAAAGCACTGGCTGAACTTACCTGATTGAATGTTAACCCTTTGACGTGGTCATTTAAATTCCGTGGCCGCGGCTCCTGCGGTAATATATTCAGCCGGCCATTTAAATTTTGCTCGAAAATTATTTATTCATCATTGTTCTTAAATTCTATGAGATAGGAACATGAAACTTTCACTAAAATGATCTTAAATGGTGGTTTTATAACCTTACCTTATAATATGGGCGCCCTGTATCTCGGCNGCCATGAAGGCATATGGGGCAGTGGAGGTACATTACTTGCCCTAATTATCAATAACTGATTCATTCAGCTGAATGCATGCATTTTATGGCTCATGCAACTTGTTTCAGGTCAGAAGGGCTAAATAGTTTAAGTGAATATATGAAACTATGCCCCCAAGAACACTCTACACACCAGTTATTCAAGATGAATCATGACATGGTGAAGTTATGTAGAGCCATCCAATTTGAGGTGCATGGGCTGCATGTGGTCACCACTTGGCCATGTGGCCTGCAGCAAAAGTATGTTTCTATTCCTCAAAATATGTGTCAATGCTTTCCTTATGTTAAAAGAAATGGAGAATACTATTTTGAATTGTTTCATTTTCGGTCCGTTACACTATCAATCACAGAGTTAGTAGAGTCCGTCGAGTGTAACAATTTGTAGGTCACTTTTTTAATATCACTTCTGCCTTACATGTTTCGGTTTTATACAACCATCATCAGAGGCACTTGCTATAACTATGGAAACACTGTTGTTGGTTATGATGTTCACAGTTATGTTTGTTGCATAGACGCTGCTACAATATGCTAGCGTGTAAAAGCACAAAACATACTAAGATAGTTGAGTACACTATCAAGTTCTCATTTTTCATCCGAAACTGTTTTAAATTAAAACGCTAAATGTTAAAATATTTAATCTAAAATGCTGAATTCCTCCTTGTTAGTTCATCCCGAAGATGGGAGACGTCAGCTTGAAGTTGTATGGCTTATGGTTCGATGTTTCTTATGTGCTGTGTGTTGTGTACTGCGTTTTAATTTAAAACAGTTTCGGATGAAAAATGAGAACTTGATAGTGTACTCAACTATCTTAGTATGTTTTGTGCTTTTACACGCTAGCATATTGTAGCAGCGTCTATACAACAAACATAACTGTGAACATCATAACCAACAACAGTGTTTCCATAGTTATAGCAAGTGCCTCTGATGATGGTTGTATAAAACCGAAACATGTAAGGCAGAAGTGATATTAAAAAAGTGACCTACAAATTGTTACACTCGACGGACTCTACACTAACTCTGGGAAATGGAGAATCTTTGTGAAAAAAGTTTACAAAGTGTGTTTCCTAAACGTTCTGTGTAATTTTTTAAACTGATTTCACATGACACCTAATAAGTTATTTTGAAAAGAATGGAATTAGGATAACTCCATAACTGAATATAATATCAGCAAATATAGCAGATTTCATTAAATTTAAATAAACGTTTCTGAACCTCATAGGTCAAACTCCTACTTGTTTGCTTATGCTTCAGAGATCTGATAGTTGAGGGCAGATTTCTATATTGGTACAATGATAAATTTATTTTTTGTAATGATGCCTAAGCATGCATAGCCAAGATACAATTCAGCCCCTCAGTGGTTTGAAGTTTGACAGCCCGATGTGCAGCAAATATTGAAAAGATGTCCAAACTTTTCAAGCATGCATGCAAGATTACACATATTAATTTTAAGACAAAAAGATAGACAGGTCTATGTAATAGCTACAGACAATAAGCCTCATGTAACCTTCCTCTTTTAATATTTGAAATAATGTTAGGCTTCACAGCATGAGGACTGTGAAAATAGTAACTCTTGTATTGACAAAATGCTTCTAGTTATGAATGACATATGCTCATTCAATGTTTCCCCAGTGAGAGACATTCATTAAAACAATTAATGCCATTACCTAAAAGCTATTATTACAACACAAACATTCATTTTCCACCAAACACAGAATATACAGAGACGCTTTACTAACCATAACAAGGCCCTTGCCACTTTGTGCAAGTCCCATCTGAACATTAGATGGACGCTGGTTCATTGCTTCACGTCTCTTCCGCTGATAATCCTTGTCAAATGTCAGTGCAGCAATGCCTTTACCTTTAAGAGAATATGTGCCCATGAAATAATGGAAACAAACTCCACTGCTCTACTGAACAGAGTGACACTACTCTAATTAGAAATATTATGAAAACTGAAGTCAGTTTTGGTCAGAGTTCACAGCATTTCCCTTTTTCTTGTAACTATTATATATGCCAATCAGAGTGGCCACACGGTGCAAGGCATACACTGTCTTCACTCACTAGAATCCTGGGATCGTGGGTTCGAATACCACTCAAGGCATGTCTGTGTACATTTATTCTGTGTGTAGGTAGTGAACTTGCAGCGAGCTGATCCCCTATCCAAGGAGTCCTACCATGTATAAGATTAAGAAACTGACAAAGCGGCCAAGCTCCAACATAGGGCTGTACAGCCATAGGCAGACAGATGGACAGACAGATGGATGGATGGATGGATGGACAGACATACAGATAGATAGTATGACAGAGTGCGAAAAAAATCAATCTCAAGGTTTTTATGGACTTACATGTTCTGAGTTTCCTCGAATACAAAAAAAGTTGTTTTTGGTATTCTGCCTGTCTTATGTATGTATTTATGTATGTGTGCCGCATTAGTGCCCGAACAGTTAGACAAATTTTATTCATGTTCAGTGTTGAAGAGTGAATCCATCACAGGTGAACATGAACATTCAATCTCCAACAACAGGTGCTCTTACTATGGGCCCCAAAACATGAATTGCCAATTTTCTCCAATAGGGCTCTAATAATCTGAATTAAATTTCAAGAATTTATGGAGACCATCTCCCTAAATAAAATTTCATTTCCAGGAAAATAATGGTATATGCATTAGGTGCCCAACATAAATTGCTAATTTTGTTGAAACTGACTTTACCAATCAGTCAGATTTCATGGTTGTTTGGTCCACGGCAACCGATAACGGTCTACCGAGAAACAGTCAATTTTGCTTCCAAGGTAACACAGTCAGGTTCAACGGTATATGAGAAAGTATTATTTGAAATCTGTGGTCTGAAGCTGTAGTTAAGTCCTGCATCAAACTGTGAATCAGTGGATTTAAATGTTCCAAAAGAGATGAATGCATGACACTGATGCAGAAGAAGAACAATGGTCTGCCAAACCGAGAATTGAATAGACCAGAACAATGGACAAGTTCATATAATAATTATTAAGAAGAGGATGAATATTAACATTGGTCAGCCATGGTTTTGCCTACTAAACTGTCCATGGCAGATTTCATGTCTACAGTCTGTGCAAAGTTCATAAAAGAAAAATTCACTCAACAGAAACTAATACTCAAATAAATTGAAGTGTCTTTCAAATTATCACAATAAAATAGTGCCTTCTCTTAATATAATTTCATTATGGGCCAAGTAAACATTACCAGGCTACACAAGTCCACAGGTTACATGAATTTCACTTGTCATGCAGTTTACATAAAGAGCAAAGTACTTACCCATTGCCCCAGTTATGCGAGAAACAGCACCAGCAGCACCGCCCACTGTGTGTCCGAACAAACTTCGTACACCCAACACCAAACCCTCTGCAAATTCACCTGGTCCTTGGATGGCTCCCTGTAAGATTCCACTTGTGGCATCATCATATACAGTATGGATTCAATTTTAGTCCATTATAAAATCCTGCAATTACTGAATAAGATATAACTACAAGATGACCTCAGATATAAGACAGAGAAATGGGGGGGGGAGATTGTATTCATTATCAAGAAAAAATTCTTAGGTGTAACTCTCCTTCAAAAATACATATGTATTTTTTTTTTCACCTCAATATACTGGCCTGTTTTAAGAACAGAGAATGTTTCTCTGGTGTAACTTGCAAACAGTTATTGTCTTCTCTTCTTTTGCAACAATGCCACATATTTGTCACAGAAATAATGTATTTCTTGTGAGTTATTTAACCATTCTTTTCAGTATCAACACTACACTCTGAATAATAAACTGGGAATGATTTGGAAGGAAGCAGTCTTGGCCAGAATGAGGTACCATCCTAGCAGTTGTCTGAAAAGACTGAGGAAACCTAATTCACATTCTGACGTATGTCACAGTTTCAAAATATCCATGTTGGTGGAAACTGTTGAACTGGGTTCACAATTTCGTTTGCAAACACAACACATACCTCTCATTCTGAAGGCAAATGAAGATGAAAATCTTGTCTTACGGTCAGGTAAATACAGTACAGCATTATAAGTACCAGATAATCACAAGTGAAAAAGACATCTATAATTCCCAAGAACTACCAGCAAAAGTGTGAAAAGAACAATAAACTCATTAGACAGAAAGACATGTTTAATTCTATGAGATGACTGATCTACCTGGCTCATTAATTAAGCAATGGGAAACAAATTATAATTTGGGGTAATGAGTGTAATATTACTGCTAACTGATCTTTTGAGCAATGTGAGTACTTCTCCTTTGAATCAAAAAATAAATATTAAAAAGAAATGTTCCTTTATGCCCAAAAATTCGCCAACAAGCAGCGGTTGCTCGGTTGGTATAGTTCAGTTGGGGACTAAAATCATGGAGTTCTTTTTTGTTTGTTTGTTCGTTCCTTTATGCCCATGGAACATGCCCACCACAACACAACACTGAAAAAGTACGCTGCATTTTCTCATAATGTTTCTTAATAACTTCACCTGTGAAGCTTTCTTTGGGGTGTGTGGGGGGGGAGTGAATATTACTATACTGTTAACAGCTGGACTATATAGCATAATAGGATGACAATGAATGACGAACTGGAAAGGATCTGGATGGAAGTGACACCTGAGGCAATGTCCCAGTAAGTACTGAAAAGTGAGGAAACCATAAATCTTAATCAGGATAAGCAGTATCTCAGCCAAGATTCAAAATGAGCATCTCTTAGCCTCACAGCTATACAAAACCGTTCAAAAAGAAAATAACATAAGGGTGTGTGCATATATACAGATGATTTCTGACCTGCTAATAGAAAGACAGTTCAGACCCCAATGTTTTGAGTTTCTATGCAGAGTAAGAGTTTTGTTAAGTCATCTACTTCAGCCATGTCATAGCTGGGGCAGTTCATCGCTGGTTTCCCACTGTGGCAGTCCAGATTCATTCCCAGGTCAAGTCATATCAGATTTGTTGTGGGCAAAGTGGCGTTGTGGCAGGG